CAGATCAGGGGAGAGGGCAATAGAAGCATTTAGCCTTCTAGATGGATGGATGGCTGAAGATATGACATGTACATTTCTGAATTCCATACCTCAGTCATCAGTGGCCACATTAGGAACCATAACCTGTCACCATGAATTTATTGTCCTCTCTTAATAGAAGCTTTCACTTTTTGTGAAAGGAAAATGTGGCTTTCTCTTGTGTTCACAAAAGTTAGGATACCAACCTCAGAATCCAAATTTATTAAATAAGAATCCACAGTCACAAATATTGTCACATTGCATTGAAATAAGTGAGAAGAATAGATTAATGGCCCTTTCTCCAGCCCTCAAAGACGTTCAATTTAAACAAACACACACACACACATACATACTCACACAAATAAATTATTTAAAATTCCCTTACTTCAAACTCATTAAAGAGAAATGTCATGTTAAATTTAGGCAAACAGAACAGAGTCTTTAAGATCTGCTATAATGAACAGATAAAAATGTCTAGCCAGCATGGCAAATATTTTTATGTAAATGTAAGCTTCCAGTGTGCTCATAAATTCTATCACAGAGATCATACTAATCTAAATTAAATTAAAATGTATTCATTTATTTCTCAGAAATAAGTATGAAATAATATTAAGATATAAACAGAGAAATGATCACAAGTTATCAGTCTGTTAATTCAAATTAATAAAGGACCACTGTGTAATTTAATGAGTTTGGGGAGGCACAAATATTTTCAAATGAAAAATAATCATTTTTAAGTAACTTCCAACAGATTAAGAGCTATCATCCAAATTCCTCAATACTCACATGAGTAAAAATACATCCAACTAAGGTCCGCTGTGATATCAACATTCTGTTTGGAAAATTTTGACAAGTGGCATCATATCAGACAAAGAACACCTGGTGTTTGGTAAAACTGTTCAAATTGCAGGTTGACTTGTCATTGAAGTTTACACTGAGCAACATAAAATGACTCAATAGAGCAGAATAGCACAAAATATCCAAGTCACACAAGGGACCAACAGACCAGCTAGAACCATGAAGGAAAATTATCCAATAAGAAGATTCTTTATAGGAATCAAAATTTCTAAGCCACAGAAAAGGCTTATCAAATTTGTACCTCTTGAGTTAAAAAAAAATCAGGATTGTGCATCTTTGTGACTGTGGTCAAAGTCACAACATTGGCTTATAAAATTAGTGGAGAGTAAACGATAAGGTCGCTTTACCTATTTAAAATACAGGACCCCATAACTACCGCCACCAGCACAGAGCGCTGTGCTTGGTGCTGCATTCAAAGACCTTGTAAGGCACAGCATCGCGTCAACCAACCCGTATTTTTCCTGAAGTTTCCTTTAAAGATTTTGCTTGTCGGTTACTTACTTTCAACACTATATTATCTACCAAAGCATTGCAATATAGCTACTCACGTAGCTAAAGGGGCCTTCATGTCCTTACTTTCGCTTGCATACATCAGTGAAGAAAGCCCCTGCAGGCGGTCTCCAGGAAACCCCAGCAGATTGATGATTTTGAGCAGGTTTGGGGGCACCATGGATATGCAAAGGTGAAAAAGGCCATATCCAAAGCTAACAGCACCTTTCAGTCTGTTTAGGGACTCCTCAGTCACCCCTTCAGCCACAATGTGATTATCATTTGCAGTGTCAGAAGTCGAAGGCTCTTCAGTTAGCTTCTTCTGATACAGCTCCTGAAGGGCATTGATGTCCAGATAGCATTTATTGTAAATCTTCCAGGCTTTCCTAAGGATCCACCCACCTTTTATGTAAGCTATAAAGAGAAGGAGAGAAAAGCATTTGAAAAACCGGCCTTAGAAACAATTTTTGCATTCACACAATAAAAGATATTGGAAAACAACCTAAAAATCAAGCAGAATTGATTAAACACATTAAAATTATTAGCTATCATTGCATCTAGTCTTCTTTTTTATTTTTTCTTAAATGTTTTTAGTTGTAGTTGGTCAAAGTACCTTTATTTTATTTTTTTATTTTCATGTGATGCTGAGGATCGAACCCAGTGCCTTATACTTGCTAGGCGACCACTCTACCACTGAGCCACACCCCAGCCCTGCATCTAGTTTTCTTTGTAGTGCTTACTTAAATCTCTTATTTGTTGCTGATCTTCCTTCACTACACTGCATAACCACTTGGCAAGAAATATATATATATTATATATTATATATGTACATTATATATAATATATATAAATATATATATTATATATGTACATTATATATATTATATGTGTGTGTGTGTGTGTGTGTGTGTGTATGTAACTCTTTTATTTGTTTACCCTACCCTATATTTTCATTCCTTTAAAAGAAAGTTCTAAGTCTAGTTCATTGCTAAATTTATACCCAAGTATTTGGGGCAACTTGCCAAAGAAAAAAATATTACAAGCAAATAAAAATAATTAATTTACATTTTTACTGGGTAAACCAAATGGCCAGTTTATTGCAGAAAAAAATTATTCATGTTAAATGCAAAGAATCCCCAATTCACCTAGACCTGATGCCTGTTGTGTGGCTTAACATCTGATTGGGGTGGATTTTTTGGTCTATGACCATGGCGTTAACCCACTGCCCCAGCCTAGAGAGATCCACAGTGAACAGGGAGGTAGACAGTAAGTTATTCCATACCAGAAGGTGATAACCTATTTGTTTTGTTTTCAGCACTGGGGATTCACCCCAGGGGCACTCTACCAAAGAGCCACAACCTCAACCCTTTCAATTTTTTGAGACAGGGTCTCACTCAGTTTCTGAGGCTGATCTGAAACTTGTGATCCTCTGCCTCAGCCTCCTGAGTCACTGGGATTATAGGAATATGCCACTGCACCTGATCTCATCTATTATTTTTAAAGCTGCTTCCATTATTTCCCATTAGGCCAATTTCCCTTAGTAGAGCCCTCTTGAAAATGTATCACAAGGAAGACCCTCAGGATAGGAGTCAAGATGTGGGATTCGGCACCCTTTAAGCCCACTGAACCCCTCTAACAGGCCCTTGGCATTCTGCCATCCATCTTTCCTCTGTGGACATTTTCACCCCCACATGGAATGGGGTTACCAACCAACCTGTGACTATTTCAGTCTGTTTAGGGACTCCTCAGTCCCCCCTTCAGCCACAATGTGCATCCTGTTTTAGATATTAAATGTCACTCAAAGGCCCATATGTTAAAGTCCTGGCCCCTATTCTGTGGAGATACCTGGAGGTGGCAGACGAATGAAGTTAATCTCTGGAAGCTTTCCCTTGAAGGGATACTGGGACCCTGGCCGCTTCTCCTCCCCCCCTCCTCCCCCTTCCCCTCTCCCTCTCCCTCTGCTTTCTGATTATCATGAAATGCAAAAGGTCAAGTGACCACGACCGAAACCTCTGAAACAGTGGGCTAAAATAAATCTTTTCTCCTTATAAGACAATTTTCTTAGGCATTTTGTCATAGCAATGAGAAGCCAACACACATCATTGCCACATTTTTTGAGGTTTTCGGTAGAGAATTTTCTGTAAAATGAAACTCCCTTATAACCACAGAAGAGAGTTTATCCAGGTGGCACCACAAATGATACCACGTCCCTGACATTCCTGCACAAATGAAAAACATGAACTAACCCAGACTTCCAGACCCCGAGGAACAGCAGGAAAACATATTTTTAAAAGGTTATTTTTCAATTTCAGGAAGTACATGATATAAAATAAAATATGATTTATAAACTCTCAATCCCTGAATTGAATGTGAGCTATGACTAGATGGTATGTTTAGAAAAGAATTAGCTCCCTAGCCCTGCCTACTGTCCTCTAAAAGGCCTGCTGACAACATAGGCCCTTGTCTGGATGTGGAATTTGGGCCTGGGATGGGGTTCTTATCATTCACAGAACTAAAAGAGAGTGGCTTGCTGTGTGCCTAATCTATAAAAACCGTGGTTTATAACAAATGCCTGCATTCCTTCTGGGGGTTTAAAATTGGATTGCAAGGTAGGGAATGCCTACAAGATCAGCCCCATCACATATACCTAAAAACAACAATTTTTTTTTTTTAAAAATTGCAGTTTTGAGTACAACTGCATGCTAAGTCATGAATCCTCCTTGTGATTCCTCAAACCTCAGGAAGAACTTGGAAACCCCCCAATACATACTAGAAAGCTATTATTTCACTTAAATGTATCAATTTTCCAACAAATGATGGCCACATTTCCCATGGGATCACAATTGAAAACACAATCATCTTCCAAGTTTGGGTAGTTAATGTCCTAGAGTCTACATCTATTGAAAAGGATGATACAAAATTGAATGAACAAGTGAAACAAATTAGTCTATAAAAGTTTGGTTTAAAGGAAATGATTTTCATAATTTTATAATTACAAAAGCAATACATGTTTGAAACAATCTTCTTATTTAGTTCAATTTAACAGAAGTAGTCACTGCTTATACAGAACTACATTTTAGGAACCGATCCAGCTAAACCAAAGAGAAATGGGACAAATGTTCTTTAAGGCTCAGTGGCTTCCCCCTCCAACATGGAAGTACTATAGGAAGAGAAAAGTTTGAGCAAACCCTATAACTTCTTCATATACTAACACAGTGGAATTTCAAACATTTGGATTGGTCCAACATGCTGACAAACAAGAAAGATGATTCTCAGTTATGATCAGAAAAGCCAAATGTATAATTTTAAAAAAGGAGAAAAAGAAAAAAATGGGAAACATATACTCTTAAGAAGAAAAGCAATTGAGATCTAACTGATAATAAATAGTCACTGGCTTGAAAATTTTAAAAATGAAAGAAAAAGAAAGTCTGCAAAATCCTAAACATGTTTAAAAGCTATTGATAAAGTTCCTATTATATGCCAGGGACTATGGTGGCATCTAAGGGACACAAAAGAACCATAAAACTAATTTAAAAGGTTATTTTAAAATTCCAGCCCTCCAAATGCCTGAATAAAATTAAAACGTAAAAAAGTGTTAAAAATTCATGCAATATAAGACAAATTATATGAATGTATGTACCTGGGTCATATGTAGAAAAAGTGAAAATAAACCAAGCTAAGTGTCTGAGTGAATGGTTCTTTTTAATTTATTTTTGTCATTAAGTTGTTTTCCACACAACAAACATGTAAAAATGCCAAATAAAGCATTGTAGGATTTCAGTAGAAAACTTCACTGCTTCCCACCCCAATCTCTAACTGGAAATTTGGAGGGAAATTTTTAACTCTCTTCCTCAATGCAGGAAAAGGCATCGTCCTAGGAGAGGGGCAGAAGAGTGTGACACTAAAGAACAGTGGCAGAACAGTGGCAGGTGAAGCAGGAGACACATTGGGACCAATTGGGTTTAAGTCCAACTGAGGAATGAGCACCAGCTATAGAGAGACGGAGCATCTTCTAACACTGGGCTTGAAGGGAATCAGCTGTAACAATCCAGATCTCAGATGAAAATTAGAGAAAAGGACAGTAGCCCTGAAAACAGACATAAAATCTATCAAGTCCTCACTGCATGAAACTTAGTTAATAATATAATACAAGCCCCCCACAAAACCCTCATTCTTACAGAATAAAAATGAAATGAATTAAACCTGTTTTTAATTTCATGCCTAAGATAGGCACCTTACTACCATTTTAAAAATCCCATATTAAAATCCACAGCAACTCAAAGAGCCTTAATTTGAACCAGGGAAATGAAACCCAGGGTTTCGGACTACATCAAAGACTATAAACTGAAATATGTCCAAAACAAAGTTAACATGCCAACAGAGGGTTGTTTTGCTTTTACAACTTTCTACATTCAACTTGATATTGGAATAGGTTCTGCAGAGGGACTTGCCCCACT